GTAAGTGTATGGGGAGGCTGGTGTTTGGGATCCTGTGCACAGGTTTTTTTTTTACCCTAATGCAAGGGATATATGTACTTTTAGCCTTTAGAACCACTTTAAATATTTAATAGTATCACTATTGGTACATAGGATTTAAATTGGAAGAAAAGCTTAACTATAACTCTTCTTAAAAATGTTCCCTTCCCCCTCCTCCTAAATATCCTGCCTACCCTATATAAAAAAAGATTAGTATACCTACCTATTTTTAATTTGGTTCAGTCATGTGGTCCTGCAGCACCATCTTCCCTGTGTCAGTGAGCGGCTGCTGCTGCTGCGGGAGAAGAGAGGGAGTGTGAAAACATCTGGGCCATGGGAGCCTATGGGTGATGTAGTGGCTTTGGGAATTGACTACTGTTGTTGAGTGCCCCTTCTCTCCTTTCAGCCACCACTCACTGACACAGGGGATCCAGGACTGCAGGATCACGTGCCGGGAACAGAGTGAAAAAAAAAAACAGCTAAGTACACAGAACTGTACACTTTTTTATACAGGCAGGATAGGTAGGAGGGAACATATTAAAGAACAGGTATAACTAGGCTTTTCTTCCACTTTAACACTTTAGTAAACGCACATTTTTTTATTCCATTTTTTAATTATTGTATTATTATTTTAGTATGTATTTTTTATTAATCTGCCCCTTTTTTCATATATAGTTTTATTACCATATTTATATTAATTTTGTCTAGCCCTTCATTTCACTATATTGCTTTGCACAGTTAATAGTTTTACATTTTTATTCTATTTTTCTTTCATTGTATTGTTATTTTTATTGTTTATATTTTATTAAACTGCATATTTTTTAAATTCATTATTTTATTATTTCTATTTTATTATTCTATATTTTTTAATAAACAGTACATTTTTAAAAAATTAATATATAGTTTTATTCACATATTTAGATTTAATTTCCCTATATTAATAGTTGTCCATTTTTATTCTATTTTTTATTCATTGTATTATTATTTTATTGTTTACACTTTTTTTTAAACGGCACATTTTTTATATTCACTATTTTAGTATTTATATTTTATTCTATATTTTTTAATAAAAGGTACATTTTTTAAAATTCATATACATTTTTATTCACATTCACACTCTGATGGGCACATTATATGTTATGGGGCACACTGATGGGCACATTATATGTTAAGGGGCACGCTGGTGAACACATTTTATGTTAAGGGATACACTGATGGGAACATTTTATTGTGCCCATCAGTGTGCCCCTTAACATAAAGTGCCCATCAGTGTGCCCCTTAACATAAAGTGTCCATCAGTGTGTCCCTAACATAAAGTGTCCATCAGTGTGTCCCTAACATAAAGTGTCCATCAGTGTGCCCCTTAACATATAATGTGCCCATCAGTGTGCCCCTTAACATAAAGTGGCCATCAGAGTGCCCCTTAACATATAATGTGCCCATCAGTGTGCCCCTTAACATATAATGTGCCGATCAGTGTGCCCCTTAACATAAAGTGCCCATCAGAGTGTCCCTTAACATAAAGTGTCCATCAGAGTGCCCCTTAACATATAATGTGCCCATCAGTTTGTCCCTTAACATAAAATGTCCATCAGAGTGCCCCTTAACATAAAGTGCCATCAGCGTGCCCCTGGAATTCTCTGACATACACACATTTCATACCTTGAGGGCAGGCAGGAAGCTGGAGATGGTGGAGATAGCAAACTGCAGGGAGCAGGAGCTGCGCCAAGAGCCTTCTGAAGGGGACTATGTGACTATAGTTTGCCAGCAGACAGGTACAGGGGATTGGGAGCCAGGAGCAATAGCGAGCAGCAGGAAGCAGGGCGCACATGTGATGTCAGTGGTTGCTGGGACGCCCACGATCCTAGCAACCAATGCCTGCTGAGTGGCAGGGATCTGACATTTTAGACTGGTGGGCTGACGGTCCGGACAGGAGCGTCGTTCGGTCGGTCCGTGTTTGGACCGCAGTCCACCATTTAATGATTGCTGATATATACTGTATATACAGTATATCACATAAAACCACCACCCAATGTAATAACAAGTGGAAGAAAAAGCCCACAAGAAATAGTATGTAACTGTAATATAAATAGAACAAATAGTGCCAGAACATCCTTCTTACCCTATATATCTCTACAAAACATATACCTTTGGATCTACTTCCAAGGGTCTTCTCTACTTTCCACCTCAAGCCTAAAATAAACATTCTTCAGATATTTGTCCATTCTGTGATGAAGAAGTGAATGCACTTTGTTGAAATGACCATGGCAGAACTGGTAAAACTCCTCCAGCTGGACATGTTCTACCTTTAGGCCTCATGCACACCGGCCTCCTGAACTTGTTTAGTTGAAATTGACCTGGGACGTAAGAACAAACTATACTTCCCAAATCGATTTTTTCCCTGTTAAAGATATATTCACATGGGGAGTATCAGTGCATACGCTGTGCTAGGTCTGTGTTTACCTGCACAGGGATGGACCAGTGTTCCATGCATCCCCATACAGGCAGTCCCATTGGTGTAACAAGCTTTTGAGGTCTGCGTATCCCTTGATATCTGTAGCCAATTGGCTTTTGTAAGTGTTTTCTTGACACCTACAGGTGAAACTCGAAAAATTAGAATATCGTGCAAAAGTTCATTTATTTCAGTAATGCAATTTAAAAGGTGAAACTAATATATGAGATAGACTCATTACATGCAAAGTAAGATAGTTCAAGTCGTGATTTGTCATCATTGTGATGATTATGGCTTACAGCTCATGAAAACCCCAAATCCACAATCTCAGAAAATGAGAATATTGTGAAAATGTGCAATATTCTCGGCTCAAAGTGTCCCACTCTAATCAGATAATTAAGCCATAACACCTGCAAAGGGTTCCTGAGCCTAAATGGTCTCTCAGTCTGGTTCAGTAGGAATCAGAATCATGGGAAAGACTGCTGACCTGACAGTTGTGCAGAAAACCATCATTGACACCCTCCATAAGGAGGGAAAGCCTCAAACAGTAATTGCAAAGCAGTTGGATGTTCCCAAAGTGCTGTATCAAAGCACATTAATAGAAAGTTATGTGGAAGGGAAAAGTGTGGAAGAAAAAGGTGCACAAGCAGCAGGGATGACCGCAGCCTGGAGAGGATTGTCAGGAAAAGGCCACTGAAAAGTGTTGGGGACTTTCACAAGGAGTGGACTGAGGCTGGAGTCAGTGCATCAAGAGCCACCACACAAAGACGGATCCTGGACATGGGCTTCAAATGTCGTATTTCTCTTGTCAAGCCGTTCCTGAACAACAAACAACGTCAGAAGCGTCTTACCTGGGCTAAAGAAAAACAGACCTGGTGTGTTGCTCAGTGGTCCAAAGTCCTCTTTTCTGATGAGAGCAACTTTTGCATCACATTTGGAAACCAAGGACCCCGAGTATGGAGGAAGAATGGAGAGGCCCAGGGACCCCGAGTATGGAGGAAGAATGGAGAGGCCCAGGGACCCCGAGTATGGAGGAAGAATGGAGAGGCACACACTGCAAGATGCTTGATGTCCAGTGTGAATTCGGAAACGTCGTTCACTCGGTAATCCAAGAGTGCCATCACTGATTTCGAAAATCGGCCGACCAAGTCATAAAGTTCACCCCATATAACAAGCGAAACTTCTGTTCCTTCCAGGTCACGGCTCGGAAAAACGATCGTACGATTTGACCATCACTGAGTCAAAAATTGGTAGTTTTTCACAAATTTTCCAACATGCCCGATCTCCGAAAAGGGGAGGAACCACGAAAATCCGCCGGTGCCATTGACCCACTAACAGAGTGAAAATCGGCCGATTATTCTTAGGTCCGATTTTCGGACAAAAAAATCGGTCGATTTTCGACCCATGTATGGCCGGCCTTAGAAGGATGTTTTGTTTCTGGATATATGAGATGCGACATATTAATTCCCAGAATGGATTGGTTATAACCCTATCAAATACCTCTGCATTCTTCAAAAGACGGGATGAAATGTGAAGGTGATGTTCTTTCTAAACATCTGTCAAGATTTGAGGTGACATCTTTGCGGAAATGTTTCTCATTCCAAAATCCTCTGTTAGAACCTGCCACACTGTTCATGTTCAATTCATCTGCCATCATTTGCATACCCAATATTTGATCTGAGTGTCCGAGGGTTCACACTCTGTCCCAGGAGCGGACGGACCATTTGGAAACTTAGGCACTGCCCGAGGGCCCGGGGTCAGTAGGGCCCCCCCATGAGATGCCCCTGGTGCCTTTTTCATAGGCTTTTTTGAGTTTGGGCAAGGACACAGAGGCCCCATGATCCCCTATTGCCCAGGGGCCCCATGAGTTGTCAGTCCGCCCCTGCTCTGGCCACACTTGCATCCATCCTTTGCATTTTTGGCTGCCCACTTCTTGCGTCATCATGGACATCTTCCAGCCCCTCCTTAACCACTTCAAGTCCAGACACTTTTACCCCCCTCCTGTCCATGACAATTTTTAGCTTTCAGCGCTGTCGCATGGTAAATGACAATTGCGCGGTCATGCAACACTGTACCCATATGAATTTTTTTAGCATTTTTTTTGAGACAGATAAAACTTTATTTTGGTGGTATTCATTCACCACTGGGATTTTAATTTTTTGCTATATAAATAAAAAAGTCCAAAATTTAAAAAAAAAAAGTTTTTCTTATACAATTTTGCAATAAATAATCTTTCTTCATAAATCTTGGCCAAAATGTATTCAGTTATCTTTTTAGTAAAAAAAAAAACACATTAGTTTATAGCCAAAAATAATAATTTTTCAAAACATTTTTTTTTTTTTATTATTATTTATGTTTTTTTTCACATACTGCCACCCTAGCAGTACAGTGTCACCATAGTGACACTGTACTACTTGTGGAGATTGATGAAGATTTTTTTTTATACTGATTGCTTTTACATCCATAAAGGCTATAAAAGCAATAATTTCCCTTTCTTTCTGGCTACATTCTTGCAGCCATTGAGAAATACTGTGAGAGCTGTGATTGGTCACAGCTTGTCACATGGTACAAGGCTGTTGTGAATAGCCTTGTACCATGTGACCTCTGTGATCATTCACAGATTTCACACGTAGTAAGCAATGATGTCAGAAGTGACATCTTGCTTACTACTATTCATGTGATCACTGGTTGGCCAATCAGTGATCACATGATCGGGACCTCACACAGAGGTCCCGTACAGCGATCAGTGTTCTGCTGTGTCCTCCCAGGGAGCGCACAGGCTAAAATGGCGGGCGCTGTTTATGAACGGCAACCCGCTCCTGCACTGCTCCCATCCGGCCGTTTATATACATGGGCCGGACGGTTAGTGGTTAAACTGCGTAGCAGCAAGCATCTTGCTCTGGGGGCACTGAGCAGGGGGGGGGTCTAGAAGCACCTGCAGGGGACCCGAGAAGAGGAAGATCGGGGCTGCTCTGTGCAAAACCATTACAAAGAGCAGATAAGTATAACATGTTTGTTATTTTAATCTCTTCACGCCGACAGCGCGAAAATATGCGGCCTCTTGACGGCTGGGCCTTGAAGCCGAGCAGCCGCATATTTGCCTACCATTTGTAAACAAACGTGCTGACAGCGCGCGCCCTGCTCGCTCCCAACACGTGTCGGCGTCCCACGGAAAGGTCCTTATCTCGGGACCTTTCTGATCATGTGACTGCCGTGACAGCCAATCACGGCGGTCACATTACCTTAAAACCCTGCCTTCCGGCATCAGAAAGCCCTTAAAGGGCCAGGAGGTGCCGGCGTGCAGGGGTTATAGAAGAAAAAAAACAACCTTTCTAACCACTCTAATCCGCTGCTCCAAATTCCTGTTACTTATTTTCTGCCACAGTGTAACGCACACACGTGTTATTTCTTCTACTATTCTGTAAAGACTGTGTCAACTGGTCTGCGATCCGGGCACGTGCAAGTTAGAACATGTCAGAACACGCTTGAGTGCAAATGGCTGCAAGTCTCGGGGCAGCACAGTGGCTAAATGGTTAGCACTTCCGCCTGGCAGTACTAGGGTTGTTGGTTCAAATCCCAACCACAGCACCACATGCTTAGAGTTTGCATGTTCTCCCTGTGCCTGCATGGGTTTCCTTCAGTTTCCTCCCACACTCCAAAGACATGCTGGTAGGTAAATTGGCCCTAGTATGTGTATGTATGAATGTGAGTTAGGGACCTTAGATTGTATGCCCCTTGAGGGTTAGGGACCTTAGATTGTATGCCCCTTGAGGGTTAGGGACCTTAGATTGTATGCCCCTTGAGGGTTAGGGACTGATGTGAATGTATAATATATACAGTCATGGCCGAAATTGTTGGCACCCTTGATATTTCTCCAGGAAATCATGTATTTCTCACGAAACGTATTGCATTAACACATGTTTTGCTATACACATGTTTATTCCCTTTGTGTGTATTGGGACAAAACAAAAAAAGGGAGGAAAGAAAGCAAATTCGACATAATGTCACACAAACCTCCAAAAATGGGCTGGACAAAAGTATTGGGCACCCTTTCACAACTGCGGATAAATAAGAATGTTACAAGCATGTGATGCTCCTGTAAACTCACCTGGGGCAAGTAACAGGTGTGGGCAATATAGAAATCACACCTGAAAGCAGATAAAAAGGAGAGACGTTCACTTAACCTTTGCATTGTGTGTCTGTCTGTGCCACACTAAGCATGGACAACAGAAAGAGGAGACGAGAACTGTCTGAGGACCTGAGAACCAAAATTGTGGCAAAATATCAACAATCTCAAGGTTACAAGTCCATCTCCAGAGAACTAGATTTGCCTTTGTCCACAGTGCGCAACATTATCAAGAAGTTTGCAACCCATGGCACTGTAGCTAATCTCCCTGGTCGTGGACGGATGAGGAAAATTGATGAAAGATTGCAACGCAGAATAGTCCGGATGGTGGATAAGCAGCCCCAAACATGTTCCAAAGACATTCAAGCTGTCCTGCAGGCTCAGGGAGCATCAGTGTCAGCGCGAACTATCCGTCGACATTTAAATGAAATGAAACGCTATGGCAGGAGACCCAGGAGGACCCCACTGCTGACACAGAGACATAAAAAGCAAGACTACAGTTTGCCAAAATGTACTTGAGTAAAGCCAAAAGCCTTCTGGGAAAACGTCTTGTGGACAGATGAGACCAAGATAGAGCTTTTCGGTAAAGCACATCATTCTACTGTTTACCGAAAACGGAATGAGGCCTACAAAGAACAAAACACAGTACCTACGGTAAAATATGGTGGAGGTTCAATGATGTTTTGGGGTTGTTTTGCTGCCTCTGGCACTGGGTGCCTTGACTGTGTGCAAGGCATCATGAAATCTGAGGATTACCAAAGGATTTTGGGTCGCACTGTAGGGCCCAGTGTCAGAAAGCTGGGTTTGCGTCCAAGATCCTGGGTCTTCCAGCAGGACAATGACCCCAAACATACGTCAAAAAGCACTCAGAAATGGATGGCAAAGAAGCGCTGGAGAGTTCTGAAGTGGCCAGCAATGAGCCCAGATCTAAATCCCATTGAACACCTGTGGAGAGATCTTAAAATTGCTGTTGGGAAAAGGTGTCCTTCCAATAAGAGAGACCTGGAGCTGTTTGCAAAGGAAGAGTGGTCCAAAATTCCGGGTGAGAGGTGTCAGAAGCTTATTGATGGTTATAGGAAGCGACTGATTTCAGTTATGTTTTCCAAAGGGTGTGCAACCAAATATTAAGTTAAGGGTGCCAATACTTTTGTCCAGCCCATTTTTGGGGTTTTGTGTGACATTATGTCATATTTGCTTTTCTGCCTCTGTTTTATATTTGTTCCAATACATACAAAGGGAATAAACATGTGTATAGCAAAACATGTGTTAATGCAATACCTTTTTTGTGTGAAATACTTGATTTTCAGGAAAAATATCAAGGGTGCCAACAATTTCGGCCATGACTGTATGTAAAGTGCTGAGTAAATTGATGGTGCTATATAAGTACCTGAAATAAATAAAGTCTCACCACCATAGTGATATGCTATGGGCATTCTGGGGATTAAATGGTCACACCTCGTATGTGAACTATTTATATTTCAGTTACAGAATATTTTTTGTCTTTTTTGTTTCCACTTGTTATCACAGTGGGTGGTGATTTTATTTATACATGCATACAGTATGTAACTACTACATTGTTTTTGAGTTATTTTCATTTTGTTTCAGAGGGGCTTGAACACGTAAACACAGCGGGTTATTTCTTGGATGTTTTATATTACTGTTAAAAAAAGCATAGAAGGTGTGAGATTATTTAATAATGGAGATGTACCACTCTTGGTAAATACATACATTGTAATTGACAGTTCAGAGAACCTGTTCATCTTGATGTATATAAACACAGACAATATTTACCTTTGTCAATTCCCTGGCAGGCCGGAGTCACTATAAAGGAAAGTGAAGACTTTTCCATGTTCTGACATAAGAAACTAAACACTTCATTGGCTTCATTAGCTGCAGAAACCATTTGCACTTCTATCATTCTGAAATAGAGACAAATGTAAATCAATTGAAAGTGCGCCAGTGCAGAACCATAAACAAATACCGCGGTTTTTAAAGAAACCTGTAATAAAAATAGATATTTTGACACTTAATGTGGTATTAACCTCTTCACACCGAGCGCATGCAAATGAGTGACCTCCCAGCGTCTGGGCCTTGACACCGGGCGGCCGCACATTTGCGCACAATTAAAAAAAACATATGTGCTGAGAGTGCTCGCCCTGCACGCTCCCCCAGCACATATGTCCGGTACTCACGGAAAGGTCCCGATCTCCTCTTGTGATCGGGACCTTTCCCGATCATGTGACTGCCGTGACAGTGAATCACGGCGGTCACATGACCCTAAAACCCCCGCCCGCCTCCCGGCTTCTGAAACCCTTAAAGGGCTGGTGACAGTATGTTAAAATAAATAAACACATTTTTATTCAACTTATTTTACAATTTTTCTTTTTTTAAATACTTTTGTCAGTGTAGTTCAGTGTTACCATATTATTTTATTTTTTTTTACACACTCGATTTGCTGTTACAATGACGATCACAGTAACATTTTGCACTGTCATGAATGCGTTACATTCATGCCAGCTGTGATTACTAGTGATCTGTGATTGGCTACAGCTAATCACATGGAACAGGATGCTTTGACTGGCCAAGGTATCATATGATAGCTGTGGGCCAATCACAGCATCACTAAAAGAATCACAGCTGTTATGAATTCATTCATGGAAAATTGGGTATTTGGCGCACTCCAAGACGGGGTTAAGATGGTACATGCGGCAAAAATGGAAGATAAGAATAGACTTAAAAGGAAAATTTTCATGTAATCATAAACGTATGTGCAAACATATAAATATTAAAAGAAATAATAAATAATGAGTAGTAAAAGTCCTTATATGAATAGTCCTGGATGGAGTTCTGATGCACCATGGGATGGGGTGGGCAGCCAGCCAATGATGAGCTAGAGAGGCCCTGTGATAAATCAGGAAGAAAGAGGCAGCACCCTCTAGGTGCAGTATAAAAGCTCTTTAATAGGTAAAAATCTCACAAAAGATAATTATTATTATTATTATACAGGATTTATATAGCGCCAACAGTTTGCTCAGCGCTTTACAATATAAAAGGGAGACAATACAGCAACAATACAGTTCAATACAAGAGGGATAGGAGGGCCTGATCCTTGGGAGCTTACAATCTAAGGAAGAAGATTAGCGCTTGTCTAAAAGGCATCCGCTTTTGGTGAAGGAGTGTGGAGCCTCTAGGCGAATGGGGAGATCCGGCGTCTAGCGGTGATGCTGGTGGCTTCCAGCATGTCCTCAGAGTTCCAGGATTCCCTCAGCGCAATGCAAACCTCGCTTCCGGTCACGTGATGGCGGGGGTTGGCGCGCGTTCAGAGCATGCATGCTCCCTCATCAGGCCGTGACGGAGCCATCTTGAAACAGATCATTTGTACCCATAGCGAGGGGAAGGGAAAGAAAACTCCTCTTGCTTGCTGGCGTGGCTTGGGGAACAAAGGACCAGCAGCAAGAGAGCTCATACTGGAGTGGCTAATGCATAGAATACCATAAAGTAAAAATGCATTATAATAAAAAGGGGATATGTAATGGGATCTGTGGATATATAGGAATGGCAATGATGCATGTACATCTATTATACATGAGGATATTGCAAAACTAATACATGTGGTGTCTGAAGGAATAAATAACAAAATGTGAGCCCTTAGGAGGACGGTTCACAGTATTATTGGGGGTACAAAAGTAGTAATAATGTAAATTGGTGATGACAATTAATAAGCAAATCATAAGAAAACTATGTCA